AACTCACATTTCGGCCAGGAAAGTTTTGATGACATTTTCTTTTTATATTACCTCCGTATAATGCCCGTAATAACATAATGTTTACTTTATGTAACTGTTCTACAAGCACGACCTTCTGGCAAATAATGAATTTGCATATTCACTTATATTCACATTATATTTTTAGGGTATAATCACACATTTCTTCCATGTTTTAATTTTAATTGTAAATCCCCTTTGTTTGCCAAAAAATAAAGTTTGCCTAGTTTTCAATAATTAAAAGATAAATTAAATTAATGTTATAAGCCTTCATTTGATAACCAGAAAAATTGTAATACACAACACAGAATTTCATAAGGCTATTTTAAGAATACGTTTGAATAAATTGCATATGCATTTACTGTAACGCTGTAGCCCAGGGGCCTATGGTTATCTTAAGGCACCCCTGGTGATACACAACTTTATACACAAATATACCTTTGATATAAATAAACTATAAACTGTATATTTTAATTTTGAAATGTGCGCTATTGAAGTGTCTGTGCGGAAGCTGAACAACAGCCCGCTCACAGCAGGACAGATGGAGGCGCCGGTGCGCTCACTTGGTCTTAAAATACTCTGAAATTTTTGGTCATACAGATAAAAGTAATACATCTTTCGAACATGCAAAGACTCTACGTTTATTTGTATGCACTCAGAATAACAACAAAACGTTGCGCTTCTGTAAAATAATTAAAGCAAACAGGATGCGCTTTCTGCCGTCTCGGTCATGTGAACTTGAGCAAGAAACAACGCTCCGCTTTTTTCATAACTCCGTGTATGAAAAATAAATCTATAGAGTGAAATGTCTACTTTCAAATGAAAAACAATTCAAATAGAAACGTGTGTGTTAGCATGGATGATTTACATGAAATTGAATGTGTGTGCAATGCACACTGTGCATTAAGCTGGATTTCAGTTCAATAAAATAACAAAAAAACTACATTCTGTATTATTATTTTTTACTGTAACTGACAGATTCCGGCCAAACAAACACAACACGGGAGTGGGAGCGAATGGGAGTCATTCTTCTGGGATTGGGACGGGACGGGATTTTTTTTTTTGTGGGAGTGGGACGGGAGAGGTTTGAAAATCCACTCCCGTGTCACCCTCTAGTTCATACACGAACAGTGGTATTTGTGCTTGTATAGGGTGCCACTACCATGTTTGTTTAGTGTTTCTTTGTGTTTCTAAAGAGTGCTAGCCACATTCAGAGTGTGCCCTAATTTTTAAACTAAGGGAAATTGAGACAAATTAACAGTATTTGAGAATATCAATTTTCTTAATTTTTTCTTTGTCTTGCTGTACTTTCTTTTGATTGGTACTTTTTGTGAACTTTTCCATTTGTAGTTCCTGTACCCTAGCAGTGAGGTGAAGTTTAAGATTTTCACTCTTGATTTGATTAAAGTATCATTTGGTTTTATATAAAAAATAATAATCTAACCCAACCAAGAAAATTTAATTCACTCTTACTTCAGAAAATTAAAGCAGTGTTTGTTTGTGTCATTTAATTAATTGTGTTAGCTGGCAACACATATTTAAATAGAATGGAAGATATACCGTATTGACCCGAATATAAGATGATGTTTTTTTCTTGGAAATACATCTGAAAAAACGCGGTCGTCTTATATTCAGGGTCTAGACTTTGACATGTCAATAATACACCCACAACAATAGGTAGCACCAAATACACATAAAACAAGTGTGCCATGAAATATGTAATGTAATGCGTGTTGTAAAGATCGCAAGTAAAAACAAAAGAATAAGAAAACTTACAGCTGAATGAGTCGTGACTGTCACGTTAGCCTGATGGGACCAAACTCCCTTTGTGATTTTAAAATGTAAGACAGTACCCAGATTTGAAGACTACAGTAAGATTTAACTTCTACTGTTAATACGATTTTGGTAGGCTACTATTAGATGGATAGCCTAAATGTCCTAATTCAGATGGGCTACCTGCTTTTTTTTTCATGGTATATCAAAAAGTGTATATATTTTAAATGTGATTGTTGGTACATTTTACCAGTTTTTACCATACTTTCAAAACAAAAATGAAAATAGGAAAAATATGCAATATGAAAATAATTGAAGACAAAATGTGTTTTACTGAGAAAAAACAAGATTTGGTTTTTAAAAAGCCTTTTTCCAAAAGGTACATCTGGAAAAAGGGGGGTCGTCTTCTATTCGGGCCAATACGGTAGATTGTACTGCATGTTAGCTTGCTTATTGTCCCCAAGAGCATAATTTATGTAAGTCCATATGTCTTACTAACAAGAAACTATACTTCTAACCACAGGTTGAGAGCAGTAGTTCCTACCACATAAGTTTGCAACGCTGTTTGGGAATGTTAGTTTGAACTATGGTTTCGGGAAACACAGAATCGTTGAACTATGTTGGTAATGACAGAACTTGCGAGCATAGTTGACTAACGATGCTTTTGGGAAACGCACCCCAGAACGACTTAACTCTAGGGACCTATATGATTATGTGTGACTAAGCGACTACGTTGAATGGCTTAATTCTAGAACGTGTAATGTGTCGTTAACAAATAGATATATGCTGCAAGCAATAAGAAAAAAAATCCAGCAACCACCTGAAGCATGATATCATAATTTAAATTAATTTCATAATTGTCATTGCCCTTTATCTTCTTATTTGTATAGTAAAGCTATTAGGAGTGCTAAATAAATGACAGGAGCATGACTCTTGACACTGCTTGCAGCTGAAATCAACCGCATACATTTAGAATGGTTAATGAAAACATCACCCTTGGAAATAAATGAATGTGTCATTAAGGTTATGCAGCTAATAGTATCACGTAGCCAGACCTTCAGACTGACAACTGAAGGTCTGGAATCCATGGCAGCTTTCATTGGCCAAACTGGTTGTTTGACCGACATGTCAAACAACCAGTCACGGTTTGTTTTGTGTCAGCATCATGTTTCGGGTCATGGAAATGTCACCACAATAACAGATTGGTGTGTATCGGACGTATTTTAAAGATTCTATACCGTGAACTTTAAATATTTCACATACTTTTGAGAGTCCAGCGTTTAGTTGATCCTGATAAGTGCTCGTCGTCACAGTTGTAAACACGGTGGCTTTCTTCTTTCGTGAGGGGGTTTGGCACCACTTTGTTTCCTGGCGGAACGTTAAACAACGCGACACACACGTCTCCCGGAAATCCTGTATAATTCAACCAATCTGATGGCGACTTCGAAACTCCTGAAGTGTTACCACTTTTGTGAGCCATATGCATCAGACATTCAGCCAACGGTCTGTGGGCGTGATATCTGAGGCTGAGACTATGCAGCTAAATATGGCAAAATTTGATTGAAGTGTATACAAGCATGAATGCTTATTTCTCTTTAACCTCTTCTGCTGTTTATATACTTAGTAATTAATTCCGTAAATATGGACAACAGGACATTCTGAGCAACTGTGACACATTTCATTCATGTTTGATGCTAGGTGTGCCATAGTTATGTTAAATGAGGCCCACAAGGAGGAAAAATCAACTCTCCCCTCCAACTAGTTGGACAGTCATTAAGGCACATGAAACCACTGAACCAAACAGAATTCATAGTAAATCACAGCAATTGTGACTGTTTCACCATTTACATTTAGATGTTTCTTGAAAGTTTTGAAGGTCTCAGCATATCTAGTGGAGGTTGCCTCATTTCACCATAGAGAAACAGAGAGGGTGAAAGTTCTGGTAGGTGAGGTATGCAGGTGCATTTCCAATGGCAGTAAGGAAGACTGTGTTCTGAATTGAGCATCTGCACATAACGGAAATGACTCTTAAAAAGACAGTGATCTGTGTAGCACATTTAGACAGGGCTGGCTCTAATTTCTCTAACCTGCATGACCAGGCAGTTGATGCTACATCTTCCAGTTAATTAATTTTGATTTTAAGTGAGTACATATGCCTCATGGAAATGAATGTGTTTACTGGAACAAACATAAACTTAAATGGAACATAGTGGCCCAATTTACACCTGCATGTATGCTATAATAATTTGCATATAAACATAAAGATGTGATCGGACCCACTTTATATTAAGTGGCCTTAACAACTATGTACTTACATTTAAATTAATCATTTGGTACAATGCACTTATTGTGTACATACATGTTTTTACATTATTACATTTATAATTATACTGTTGACCCATCCCTTACACCTTAACCCACCCTTAAACCTACCCATACCACCAAACCTGTCCCTAACCTTACCCGTATCCCACCTCAATAGCAGCAAATGTGTTTTGCAATACAATATGAACACAATAAGTACATTGTACTTAATTTTTGATGTAAGTACATAGTAGTTAAGGCCACTTAATATAAAGTGGGACCATGTGATCACTACATTTTAGGAAAGTCATTGTCTGATGTGGGAAGAAAAATAAAAAAAATCTCAACCCAGTCAAAAGTGTTTTTATTTTATATTTCTTATTTTTTCATATTATTATCATTATTATTAATTTGGCTGAAGTTATAATACAGTCAAAACTATTTTGCTTGTATTTAATATGGCGTATATATGATGAATGTTCAAATAAATTAATGGCATATGTATGAGCTAAATGCTTAACCTATTAATTACTGTGAAACTGCTTTAAAACAATCTGCATTATATAAAGTGCTATATAAATAAATAAAGATAGTAAGCTTTAAAATTATACACAAGATGCAAGGCTATTTTGTTTACTGTAAGAAATGCAGAAAGATAAATAAATAAATTCAAGCCATTAAAATGTAACTTCCATTAGTTGTTAATTGCACAAAGTCAATATCATTTTTTTATTAGAAAATACATAATACAGGTCCAGAATATGGCTGTGATGGAGATGGTCACTGAGAGTCCATTGTGTCTAGTGCTGAACCGGCCTACACTGCAGAGCCTGCCACAGCCTGTGGGAGAAATGCATTTGATACAGCCAGCTATGTAGGCCATTAATCAGTTATATGATCTGGTTTCAAAGAGCTTTAGATGAAGATTTCCCCATCATTTGTTTCTTTGTGTTTTTCTCTGGTTTTAGCAAAATTATGTAACATTTTGGGGCAAATATGCAAACTAGTAAACCAAAACTTGAAACTAAAATGGCAAATATCTCCACAGCTACAGTGAATTTTCCAGGAGAACTGACATAAGCTGGAATAAATGTGAGCCAGACAGCACAGAATATGAGCATACTGAATGTGATGAACTTGGCTTCATTGAAGTTATCAGGCAGCTTACGAGCAAAAAAGGCTAAAACAAAACACAAGATTGATAGCATGCCAGTATAACCCAGAACAGCCCAGAAACCAAGAGTTGAACCTACGTTACATTCTAGAATGATCTTTTCTCTATAATAGCTTAAATTCATATATGGGAAAGGAGGTGATATTGTTAACCAAAGCACACAGGCAATCGCCTGTATTAATGTTAAGGAAACAACACTGAGTTGTTGTTGTGCAGGCCCAAACCATTTCATGACATTACTTCCTGGTAGTGTAGACCTGAAGGCCATTAAGACCACTATTGTTTTCCCCAGAACACAGGAGATACAGAGGACAAAAGTGATCCCAAATGCTGTGTGACGCAACATACAGGACCACTCAGTGGGCCGACCAATGAAAGTAAGTGAACAGAGGAAACACAGTGAGAGTGAGAAGAGCAGCAGGAAGCTCAGCTCTGAGTTGTTGGCTCTTACAATAGGTGTTTCTTTATGAAGATAAAACAGAAAAGATACCATTGCTGTTAATAACACCCCAATGAAGGAGAAAATACAAAGCACCATCCCCATGATTTCTGTATAGGAAAGGAATTCAACCACTTTTAATACACATTTGTCTTTGCTTTCATTTGACCAGTACTCGAAATCACAAGGAAAGCAGTCACTAGAATCTGTGAAGGAATTTCAAGAAAATATTGTTTAAATGTAAAATGCATCATGAAGTTACATGACCAATGGACAGTATTACACTCCACTTTATCTTACATTCATGAAATTTAACTAGCATGTGCTAATTTACCTGTGCCATTACTGATTTCTCCTTCTGCACACGGAATACAGTCATAACAGCAGACAGGTCGGCCTTTTTGCACAGCCTTCCTAGTGCCAGGAGGGCAGCTCTCACTGCACACGGACACAGGCAACTATAGCAAAATGTTTTTTTTTGTCATTAAGTTACCCAAACAATTATTTGAATTGTTAAATCAATTGCTTCATGAAATAATTATAGTATTTATGTACCTGTCCACTCTTCCCTGTCCATAGCATCTGTTCCTGATTGAACTGAAGACGTTGCTCTGAAGGTAGTGAGCTGTCATAAAAGCCCACATGTTTAAACTGCAGACTTCCATCCTCAGCAGGCTGCCAGTTAACCAGGTCATATCTCGCCACTGGATCACCACTTACATCAAAGAAGATATTTTCACCTGTTTTCATAGTGAAGCTCACATCTCTCATATACTGTGATACCTGAAAGTAAAGGTCAGAAACATAATTCATTTCAGTTAGATTTTTCTACTCTGCTTTTTTCTACTTTTAATGTTCTTACCTTTTTTGGTGTGAGCAGCTCTCCTTTGCTGCTGTTGGTGGAGGATTTAAAGTCTTTTAAAACTTCATGCAGTGTGTGTGCAACAGCATACACTGCAGTGTACACTTTATGTTCTATCCGTAGCTCTGAAACATCAGTATATTCATTTTGCAGCTCTGAAAGTTTCTCTGAGCCAGTACAGCCACTGGTACTGAAAGAGCACTGAAAAGCTGTTTCCCAGAATTCTTTTAAAAGTTCATTTTTTAGTTCTTGATCAGGGTGCACATTCACTAGGAACTCTCGCAGACCCATAAGTTTGGCGTTCACTACAGCAAAGCCTACAGCTCCAAAGAGGAAACTATATTCTTTTGTTTCTGCAAGATTTCGAGATGTTATCCATGATTCACTGCCAACCCACTGTATCCCTGTGATGTTATGTTCTGCAATCACGTTCAGGAGGGGGACAAAATCTCCTAAAGAGATAAAAGCCACCACCACCCTGGCGGTGCCTTTTTTTATCACTTCCAGTGTCTTCAGAAACTGTTCTTGTGGATCAGTTCTTAATACGGCCTCTGAGTATTCAATACAGATCCCTTCTTGTTTTGCAGCCTCTTCAAATGCTGCTATCCCATTATTACCGTAGTCACTGTGACTCCTGACTGTCCCAACCCAGGTCCAGCCAAAATACTTGACAAGCTGTGCAAGCGCTCTGCTTTGGTAATAATCACTGGGTATTGTTCTAAAGAAGGATGGATATCTTTTTCTGTTACTCAGGCATGCACATGTGGCAAAGTGACTGATCTGCAAGATAAAGTAGCAGAGTACATTAGCCATGCAGTATATATGCTAATGCACTATAAATCACCACTATGCAGTTAACATAATTGTCATGACGACACTGGTAGAATCTAATCAATTTGAAACATTGATTTATATATTTACACTTATTTTCATTTGGTAACATTTGATTTGATGCATATGTTTTTGGTGCATGTTCCAGAAGTTCATCATATTTATCTGCTACTTGTCTTGCTTAATTAGTATAAGTAAGAGTTCTTACAACAGGTATGTTGAATGGCCCAACCACAGTAGCCAAAGCTGTGGTAGGAGAGGACGATGACTCTCCAACAATGGCCTGAACAGCTGGTGATCTAGAGCAGAATATATCACTCAAAATCTCTTCATAGCCATTCATCAAAGCCATACCTGATTGGATAGCCAGATCTATAGAGTTACAGGCATCATATATTTTATAGCCCAAAGAAACACCAGGCAACAGCTGAGTGCTGTTATTTATCTCCTCAATGGCAAAAATAAATGTCTGAGCAAATTTAAATTCACGCAAGTTTAACCTGTGAAATTAAATCATCAGTCATGTGTAAAACTGCAAAATCATAAGTAATGTTCTTTTTTTTTCAGTTAATCATTAATATCATCATACAGACCTGACACATGTTGTTGACTTTGGTTTGGAAGTGAAAGGATGCATCTTTAGCAGAGCATTTCTGTGAATTGAGAAAATCGCTCCAATGTTGATGTCTCTTTCTGAAGAAAGTACAGGAAAGGCAGGTTGACCAAGCAGACTGCAGACTTGTGTAGAAGCTGGCACAAAGACATGCACCACCACCAGCAGTAGCAGCAGTGACACAGTCCTCTTTGCCATGCCAGTAGTATGTATGTAGGGCAGGTACCTCTGAGACCTGGAACAGTGCTGCATTTTATCATATCTTAAACTGCCCTGTGGGATTGGCATATTGAACCATTTACATATTTCATTATGGAGGAAATGGCATTCTGGGGAAAATTACAGTCTTGCTTACATGTCTCTTTGTACAAGATATAATTTTGCACCATCTTAAAACAAGTTCTGAAAAGGCAAATTAAAGCTAAACAACAAAAGAATGTTTCATACATTTTTTGAAAGGGGTCATGAAATTGAAAAAACAAACAAACAAAAAAAATTTACAAATACAAATTGGACCAAAAATGGGGCTTCACGAAATAACCTTTCTGTGCTACAAAGAACCTTTTGTGCAATGGAAAGGTTCTTTGGATATTAAAGGTTCTTAATGGAACCATACACCCTGCCAAAAAAACTGTTTAAGAACCTTTATTTTTAAGAGTGTACTGGAAGAACCATCCATTTTATTGATACTTCAGTGACTGCCTCAAAATGCATTTCAGTAAAAAAGATAATCTCCAATACAATCTCTGAATATTTCAATAGCAATGGTGAGCTGAGGAGAACTAGCAACTGGCTAGACTCTAGGGCCAAAATATTGACAATGAAGCTGTCACCATTAATGCATTCATCATCACACTAACTAGTCTTCTACCACACTACAATCCATCACTCTCCCTAAGGTCGCAAAACTCTGGACTTTTGGTAGTACCTAGGATAGCAAAGTCCACTAAAGGAGGTAGAGCTTTTTCACATTTGGTTCCAAAATCTGGAATAGCCTTCCTGATAATGTTTGGGGTTCAGACACACTCTCTCTTTTTAAATCTAGATTAAAGACACATCTCTTTGGCCAAGCATTCAAATAATGCATATCATAATCTAGAACTGCAGTTATATCTGATCAAATGCACATTATTATTCTTTAGTTTGGGTTAAACAAATAAATTTTGCTTGGTTGGAACAGCAGCTACGCTAATTATGTCTCTATTTGTTTCTCTGTTTTTGCCACGGGATTGACATTGTATCGTGAAAAGCGCTATACAAATAAACTTGAATTGAATTGAATTGAATTGACTGTACCTCCTCAGCCCCCATATACTACTGACATCCAGCTATGGAGTTTTATCCTCTGTAGAGGACATTATTTTTTTTAGCGATTTCGCTGAGGCCTTACATGTCACAGTTGTCTGGATGTCCTGTAAAGAACCCATTCATGGCTTTTCAGAGATACCAAATGAATGAATGTTTCACCATGACCACTCCCTTTCCTTGGTCTTTAAATATGGCAGACATTAATTTAGTGAACAAATTCAACACCCTTATGGAAATATGATAATATTTTGTAATGATCATTTAAACCTGATTAATTTTCCAATTGTTTGTCATAAATCAACATCTTAGGAAAATGTTATGGAGTTTCCAATCAAAATTTGACCTTCTGTTACGAAACAGGACATTGATTCATACATGTCCACTGTAGAGGACACCAGGACTAAAAGCATGTTTATTACACATTTTGGGAGATACAACAAATGAATAGGGAAATAAATTATATTACAATATCCCTATGACATATTAGATATTATTATGAAAATCTTGCCAATTATTATTCCCATTATTACATATCTTTCATAACATAGTTGAGAATAATTTTTATACAAGCTTTGGCATAAAAATTTAAAAATGGATTGGGGATTTAAAAAAAAAAAAATAAAATAAAAAAAAATATATATATATATATCTGTTTTTGCCTCTTCATGTCTATTCATCTTGCATAGCCGAACACATTTGTAAAACAATAAATAAAAAAGTAGTTTACTAATGACAAAGCAGTTGATACAGTACAGATGCACCCATTACCGCGGGAAGTAGGGGTGCTGGGGGTACTGCTCAGAGCTAAAGAAAAAATGGGGGTGCTGGGGGTGGTTAAAAATAAATAAATTTACATTTTGTAACAAAAAAGAAATAAAACTAATTTTATTCATTTGAATATTCTTTAAAATCATAGGGGGAAAAAGCTTAACGACAATAAGCATCAATTGTCTCGTGACGTCACCACGTCCGCATCCGTCATTGAAGATTTAAAAAATACACCAGTCAACATGGCGCAAAAACGCATTTCAGATTTTTTCGCGAAGCCCAAAAAAATAAAAAGATTACCTTGAGCTGGCGATAAGAAAGCAGACCTGGAGCCTATGCCTAGTGGGCAGCCAACCAGCAGTAGGCATACGCATTAATCTTATTTTGTTTTAGTAGTATTTAGTAATTCTAACAATTCTTCCTGATTATCCAGTCAGTATGGTAGGCTACTCTAAGAAGCCCTTTATTGTGGCCACACTATAAAACATAAGTTAAGTCAAATCAATTTGACTGTGTATAAGTTGTTTAAAACTTTTATCATATACTGATAAAAAAAAAAAAAAAACATTTGTTGCCATGACTTTTTTGATCATATTTCCCCCCCTATAACACGTCTGTACCCAAATGAAGAATTAACAAGCATGTCTACAGCTATTACAAAGAAACAGAGAAAGAGCGAGAGAGTCCATTTACCTCCGCAGCAACTATGTCGCATTCTCGCATCTTGATCTTTAACGTTATCTTTTCGTGGATCAAAACTAATGCTTAAGGTTATATAATAATAAAAAAAACCTTACATCAACAATAAAATAGTACAATGATGAAGTCGCTTAGCTTATATTAAACATAAAAATTGAACAAAACAAATAAACTGATGACTTGGTGTAACCGTGTTGTAACATAAAAATAAAGTCTTTGTATTTTCCCCTTTGTGGCAATTTTGAATGACAATTTTGTTTATAAAATTTGTTACGCAAATATAATGGATTTCCCCTTTTAAAACGATCGTAGTTTTTGGTTCATTGTTATTAAAACAGATCCGTCATAAAGTAGTACAATGGCAAATTCACATTTATTAAACCTCTAACTCTTAAGAAATTGAAGAAGACGGAGCCTATGCTTGCGTTGTAACCCAAATAAATAAGGTTTCCCTTATTTAAAACGAATGTTGTGGTTCATCTTTGTTTTTTAATGAAAACACAGCAACAATAAAGACCAACTCAGTTATTTTAAACGAAGAAATGAAACGTTTATTAATAAAAGTTCTCTTGCGCTTTTGGATCCGCCACCAGTAATTTCGCTTCACTCTTGTCACGTGACTCCTGCGGCTCCGAGCTGCTTGGAACAGACGCGCGGCGCCTCAGAACTGTAGCGTCCCATGTCCAGCTGAACTAAATTGATTTTATTTTTTTATTTCTTGTAACACCGACTACAGGACAAAGCCTGTGTATTGCACACATATAACTTATGTTATAACATATAGCTCCTGGGAAAACTCGAATTTTTTTCCCTCAGCCCCCCCCTGCTCAAAATACGTTCCCGCGGCTATGGATGCACCAAGGGCCAAGAGAGGCAATTTGATGTGGATAATTCCCAGAAACACTGGGCTGTGCTCATGAGTGCCAATAGCAGGGTCAATATTGTCCCTACCACTCTTTGAAAGTAATTGAAAAATATATTGCGGAAGGTATGTATTAAAGGGAAAACAAGATCAACAAATCATTCTTCATAATCTAATTAGGGTGATAAAAAAAAAACATTTGACTCCTTATGCATGCATAACTCGTGCAGTACAATAACGACATGATTTGCAGCAGTCACACTTTTCGTAATGTCTTTAGGCTATAGCATTTTATTAAAAAAATTGAGAGCTTCCTTGTGCTAAGTAGGCCTGCCCTCTACTAAAGATTTTTCTAGTCAACTAGTCGCAGTTATATTAAATTGATTAATATAATAATATATTAACCATACTTCAATATAGGGTATAGGCTGACATATTAGGCTAGAGCCTATTCCGCGCTCAAGCTCGCGCATAAAGCAATTGCCTCAAAGCACCGGCAAAGTGATTATGAA